TAAATTTTGTTTACCCAAAGTGTTTGTACATTGAAAGCAGCATTGTGTTTACTCTAAATTACCTGCCCCATCATCTACTTATTTATTGTAATGTAGGGAAAATACTTACAGGGTATCTAAAAAGAACACTAACAATAGTATTTTTCTTCATAGATCAAAGGGATTATATCTGTGAATATTGTGCTCGGGCCTTCAAGAGTTCCCACAATCTCGCAGTGCACCGGATGATTCACACTGGCGAGAAGCCATTACAGTGAGTATTATTTACTGGTGAACATCTGGGTGAGAAGGATATGTGTCCTACTTAAAGGTTTGCCACTTTGCAAATGTTTTAGTTGCTTCTGCTGTTTACTTTCATCAAATAAATGAGCGGATGTTGATTGGAGGCATTAGTGGCCCTTTTCTTAGTTTTCCTCTATTTTTCAAGCAAACAGAAGAAAATCAGATGAGTTTTCCATTTAGTAACATTTCCAAATCCTTCAAAAGAAGTATGTTACTGATAATTGTATTTATATATGAGCTCTGAATTCTAACCCTGAGTAAGAGCACTCTTTATTTCTCTGTTGGATCAGCCATTTCTTTTTCTACTCTCCTTAGATGTGAGATCTGTGGATTTACTTGTCGACAAAAGGCATCTCTTAATTGGCACATGAAGAAGCATGATGCAGACTCCTTCTACCAGTTTTCTTGCAATATCTGTGGCAAAAAATTTGAGAAGAAGGACAGCGTAGTGGCACACAAAGCAAAAAGCCACCCTGAGGTGCTGATTGCAGAAGCTCTGGCTGCCAATGCAGGCGCCCTTATCACCAGCACAGATATCTTGGGCACTAACCCAGAGTCCCTGACGCAGGCTTCAGATGGTCAGGGTCTTCCTCTTCTTCCTGAGCCCTTGGGAAACTCAACCTCTGGAGAGTGCCTACTGCTAGAAGCTGAAGGGATGTCAAAGTCATACTGCAGTGGGACAGAACGGGTGAGCCTGATGGCTGATGGGAAGATCTTTGTGGGAAGTGGCAGCAGTGGGGGCACTGAAGGGCTGGTCATGAACTCAGACATACTCGGTGCTACCACAGAGGTTCTGATTGAAGATTCAGACTCTACCGGACCTTAGTGGAAAGGAAGACTTTGGGCATGGAACAGCTCAGACTTTGTATTTAAAAGTTAAAAAGGACAAAAAAAAAAAATCTAAAGCATTTAAAATCTAGTAAAATAACCGAAGGGCCTGCTCTTTCCATTGTGGATCACAGCACACACATACATACACCCTTCAACCCCCATTCCCTGTTCTCCCTCTATTGCCCCCCTTATAAAATTGATGTTGTCTTTACCAGAAAGGTAGACAAAAAAGAAGCAGCAGCAGCTCTTAAAGTGAGGGTTATTCTCATACTCAGTTCCAGCCATCAGCAGACTCCCTGCTCTTTGGCAGATCCCCTTTCCAACCTATAACTCTGATGTGCTCTGGATCAGCTTTTAATAGTATATTACTGTCTTCTAAATCCTTTCTCCTTCTCTACTGCTGCCCTGTGGTTCTGGCTCCTTCCCATTGTGGCACACATTTTCAAATACCATAGAATTCTAATCTCCAGAGGCTGGCAGCTTGACTTGGCACTTTAGGGCCCCTTAGCAGGGTGAGCTGTTAAAACAGCACACATCTTGCATCCCCTCTTCCTTTTCCCCCACTGGGTTTCAGAAAGGAAGGATATATGGGGACCACCTCTCTCCTCTTTGATCCCAGCATCTCAGTCCCCCCTCCCAACCCTCCATATGGCCCTCAATGGTGCTCACTTGCTGGAAGCAGGCTCCCAATAGGGAGGGGGCTGCCCTCTACACAGTCTCTTTGACTGTAAGACAGGGCTCTGTATCAGTGAAACGATGAGAAAAGTCCCAGGCTAATGGCGGAAATTTGCACTTTGAACATGTGTGTTTTTGTGTTGTGGAACCTGAGATTCCTTATTTATTAACAGAAAGTCTGATTTTTTTTTTTTTTTTGAGTCTTTGTTGCTATATTTTGTGGGGCTGGGAGAGAGAGAGATTAGATTATTTTGACATGGGATCCCTTCCATAACAGGTACTTTGAAGGCAAGACATAGGGTTGAAGAAGCACAGCCAGCCTCTGAAATCATAGCTCTCCAGTGGCCTTTAAAGAAAGCTGGTCCTCAGCACTAACAGAATCACTACAATTGCCTAGTGCTTTTTTGGAAGCCTTTTTAGGGAAGAATGTTAGGTTTATGGTAACTAGTATGCTCTTTGAGATATTTAGAGCGTTGAGACTTAGGAATTTCTACAGGATGCGGAGGGTTGTTCAGAATCTAAATTACAGATAGAAGATTCTTGTGAATTTGTTTCTTTTGTTATCCCTACCATTCATTTCCTTATATTTCCCTCATTGGCCCAACTCTGGCTCCTTGCTTTTTGTTTTTTTGCTTTGCTTTTATCATCAGTTAATTCCAGCTCCCTATTAGTGAAGGACACTGCTGTTAGTGAAGGAATAAAGCCTGTGAGTCCTAAAGTTTTAAGTCAAAGAAAACTGTTCCGTTTCCTCTTCAGTAACACTTCAGAAGAGGAAAAATTTTAATAGCCAAAGTTAATACTTCTGTATAATAACTGGTTTGGCTTTCACCTAAAATTGTGGGAATCATAATTTCCTTGGAATAGAGATTTTGTTGGGGCATGGATTGCTTATTGCTGTTCACTGGAGAGAAAAGCTAGTGTTTTTGTACAAAGTCATACCCCCAGAAGCCCAGCTTCCTGTTTTGGCTCATTTTTAGGTAAAGGGCAGTTCCTATCCTGTGTGCCTCAGAAGCTGGAATTGAAGGCTTACCCTGTTCATTGTTTATTGTCAGAAATGCATGATGGCTGTTGGAAAGAATGAGGTTTTGCTGGGGGGTGGGGGGGAAAGAACAACTTGTTTTTCACAAACATGGTTTATCAATTTTTTTAAAATACTTTTTTCCCAAAAAGAGGATTAACAAAATGTCATTTCTGAAAGAGGCTTACTTTACACCCACTAGTGTTGGCAGTTGGGATGCCAGGAAGTAGGGAGTGAGACACCTACAATCAACAGTCTCAAATGCACTATTGTTTCTTTTAAGAGTGTTGCAGATTTGCCATTTCTCCAATATGGAGACAGAAAATGGAATAAAGATAGAAGGGATGTAGAATATGCTTACCTGCCAACAGTAAGGGTTTGGAGTTGACTTTGGTATATTGAGTAGATTTGAAAATGCCAGATTGATTGGATGAGTCTACAGAAACGTTGTCCTGATATCCAATCCCTTTTATACTGTTTGACTAGCTAGCATTTATAGTCCACTCTTAGCTTTTTTCTTTGTCGCACTTATCCTTTGTCTCAAGTTTCATTTGCAGTGGTTAGTCATCAGATATTTTAGCCACCTACACAAAAGCAAACTGCATTTTTTAAGATCTTTCTGAGATGGGGAAAAAAGGTATTCTTCTTTCCTATACCACTCTCCCCTCCCCACAAAAAAAACAACTAGTTCTACTAATTAGAAACTTGCTGTACTTTTCCTTTTCTTTTAGGGGACAAGGGCCCTCTTCATAGCTGCCATTTGCGTACAATGAATTATTGCAGCAGTTTGCAATACTAAAATATTTTTTATGGACTTTATATTTTTCCTTTTGATAAAGGGATGCTGCATAGTAAAGAGTTGGTGTAATTAAACTATCTCAGCCCTTTTCCTGATTTCCTTTCTGCTCCATATGCCTCATTGTCCTTCCAGGGAGCTCTTTTAATCTTAAAGTTCTACATATCATACTCTTAGTCAAATTTTGTTACCTTTTTAATAACTCTTCCCACTGCATATTTCCATCTTGAATTGGCAGTTCTAAATTCTGAAACTGTAGTTGAGATAAAACTATTTCATATTTTTGGGATGTCTACCCTCTTGTTTGTGGTTGCCCAGAGTTCTTTTGCATAATTGAGACTCCTTGATATGCTTCAGAGAGTTTGAGCAAACACTGGCCATGGCCATGGGAGTACTGGGAGTAAAATAAAAATATTAAGGTATAGAAAAGCATCCATGTAGAGCACTTAAACCTCCTTTGTACCTGTTTGGGGAAAAAGTATAAAGAGTATACTGTCAATCTAACTAAGGTTATTATAGTCTGGTTGTTTGAAATACCATTTTTTTCTCCTTTTGTGTTTTTCCCACTTTCCAATGTACTCAAGAAAATTGAACAAATGTAATGGATCAATTTAAAATATTTTATTTCCTAAAAGCCTTTTTTGCCTATTGTATGTGCAGGACCCTTCTCCTTTCATGGGAGAGACAGGTAGTTACCTGAATATAGGTTGAAAAGGTTATGTAAAAAGAAATTATAATAAAAGGGATACTTTGCTTTTCAAATCTTTGTTTTCTCTTAATCTAGGTAAGGTATATTAAAAATAAATATGTAAAGAAGAAAAATAAAAGTGGTCTTCATGGAAGCAACTTGTCTTCCTTGGTTGTACTGAGTTACAGTTATCCTAGGGGTGAAACATGTGATGCTGCTAAGCAAACCAAATGCTCTCAGAACAGGTGTTCTGTGGGGCATACTATTGTTTGCTTTTGTTGAGAATCAGGTGGTTAATGTTTTAATGTTTAGTTCTTGATGTAAAATGCTGAAATGACATATATGATTTCTGTTATCATTCAGTAAACTTGGGAATCTTGCTGTTTTGACAACTGCCTTCTAGGAAAAGTGGTCATACTAACCTAGTAGATGGAACATTAAGGATTCTGTGAGGTTAATTTTATCCTGATAGTGACAAAACCTTGATAGCATTTGATATCAGTACTTTTTCTCAAAACTGAATGAATGTATCAAGTACTGATTTTTTGAAAAAACTATGATCCTTCTGCCTTCTTAGAAGTCCTACTGTAACTGCTGCCCAGGCCGCTCTCCCACATCTCCCATTTATTGTTTACTTTTGTAAATTTGCTTCTAAGATGTCATATGTTTCAGCTTATTGGCAATATCTGTGATACAAATGATGAAAGCTAATTCATTCATTCAGGAATGAAACTTTCAGCCCTTACCCAATAAGTGTCATTCTCCAATTTAAATGCAGTATAGACTGACAGCTCTCCAAATACCTTTTAATTCTTTTATCGTCATTTCAAAGCCCAGTTCTCTTATTTTAAGAACGATGTGATATGACTGGGTAGAGAAGAAAAAAGGAAAGCATGTTGTCACTTGAGTTAGACTGCTTTAGAAATGTTACCGAGTTAGCGTTGGGTGTTTCCTGTCCTTTGGAAGAGAACAGGCCTAAACAGTACCTTCCTCCTATGTAGCTACCAGGAAGGCACTATGGTTGAAATTAGAGATGCTCCTTTGCTTGATTTTTAAGTATAAATTAAATTACCTTTAAAAAATACTTAAGGATGGCCATGAAAAAAATGCTGTGTTTTTAAAGGACTTATTTCACACAACCTTTGTTTCTTGAACGAAATGTGAACTACCTATACAGAAAATAAAGTTGGAAAGTCAGTGGGAGAAACAACTGTAGAATCAAAGGCTTCCGTTTAAATTCAAACCTCGTTGTTGGATTTTGTGCATGTTATTTCTTGAAGTTTCAGTTTCTTATATGGGAGAAATGGCATTTACCTCAGAATTACTCTGAAGATCAAATGGGATTGCTTTAAAGCATTTAGCACAGTGTCTGGACCCATGGTAGATGCTTAATAAATGGCAGCTATATCAATAATAATAATTTTATTGAATGAACCCTTTGCCAGTCTACAAAAAAACGATATGGGGAGGATAAGGAAGGGTGATAAAATTAACTGATTCTAAGTGTGTATGAGATAGATTACATTAGGCAGGGGTGCCACGAGGATTATTATGATAGTGACCTTGTTGCTAAGTGCAAAAGCAAAACAATGACATAAAAACAAGCGTGCTAAGTACTGAGTGGAGGAGAGACATGGAGGCAGACGCTGCAGGGGGAAAAAAAGACTGATTAAAAAGGGCCCTTTGATTCCACAGGCACAAAAATTCCACAGCCAGGAATTTGCTACCACCTCTGAGTCAGGCCCGTGTGGGGGTGGGGTGCACAATCCCATTAATAGAGAATGCCTAGTGGGTTTAGTCTGTGAGAGTCACATTTCTTATTTGGACCAGTGTAGACGGAAGTAAACCCAGCTCACTTGTTTCCTGGGACAGTTGAGTTAGGGGATGGCTTTTGCAGAGCATTCACCACTGACCCCTCACCGTCGGGACCTCTGTAGCCGCTCTATCTGGCTAGCAAGGAAGATACGTTCAGACCTGACTGCTCTTACGGAATCTTATGTAAGTTGCCTGTTTTTGCTCTTGTCTGTTTTCCCTTCCTATTTTCTGATCCAGCAACTTACCATCATGTGGCGGCTCCGTTACCAATTGTGAAAGCTGTCATCATGTAGTCATTCATAGAGGTTATTTGACATGGGCCCCTTCCTTGAGGAAACCCATGTGACCTTATTTTCATTTTCCAGGCTGTTTAGGAGATGCATTACTTGAATGAGAAAATACATATGGGGTTCTAGATAGAATTGGCTTATATGTCTTGGAGGCTATTTCAAATTTGAATTATTCTGAATACTACTAGAACAGATTAGCCATGGGCCCTCTTGAGTTTGGGTTCTTCGTAGCCATTGTTCTGAATTTTTTAGCTATGCAAATGAAAGGTTTATAGGATAGGGAGGAAGAGTACTATGAACTTGGGGGAGTCGCTAAATCCTACCAATTTCTCCTGTGTAGCCACCTACCTTTTAGTATTCTGCATCAAAAGTAGAGTGAGTCTAAAGAGAAAGGTTAGCTATCAAAAAGATCTAGAAGATTCATTGGAGACTTGTGGAAGTGTTAAATTCTTGAGCTAACTGTGGAGTTCCGGGTTGGTTTTCTAATAGTAGGGAAATCCCCATCAGTCTTCACTTAAGATCTGCTGTGGAAATACTCCAGGCCCTGTGGAGAGTTCTGAATTTAGGCTCTCTGAGAACTGATTCATCTTTGTATAGCCTAACCAGACAGAAATCAAACTCTTTGGGAGAGAGAGAATGGAGAGAGGGAAGTTAGATAAATTCTGCAATGGCTATATTCCAGGGCTTCTAAGTTGTGGCCGGTGTCTACAAGTATGTTCGAAAATACTTTAATATGATTAAAATATTCCAGTTTCCAAGAGAGTTTGAAATAAGAAGGAAATATCCTTCTAAATCAGTAGTTTTCAACCATTAGAACTTAGTGAAATCTGAACATTCTTCCAAGAAAAATGCATAGGTACTCAATTTCAGGGAGTATTGGGTCTTTCTAAAGCCCAGTCACGGAGCCCAAATTAGAGTTCCTACTGTAGGCATATTATTTACTTTACAACTTGGATCCTTGGCCAGAGAGGTGAGTGAGATTTTGTATGAAATTTAGGGGTGATTTAAGGACATTGGGATAATTACAGAAGATGTGGTGTTTTCCTGTATCCTCGGCCAGGTGAAGCATCAGGGCCTGAACAAGAACATCAACCTGGACTCTGTGGATGGGGTGCCAATGGCAAGCACTGATCATTGGAGTGAGCTGACCGAGGCAGAGCGACTCCAAGAGAATCTTCAAGCTTATCGTGCCTTCCACGTTTTGTTGGCCAGGCTTTTAGAAGACCAGCAGGTGCATTTTACCCCAACTGAAAGTGACTTCCATCAAGCTATACATACCCTTCTTCTCCAAGTTGCTGCCTTTGCTTACCAGATAGAGGAGTTAATGGTACTCCTGGAATACAAGATTCCCCCCAGTGAGGCTGATGGGATGCCTATTGGTGTTGGAGGTGGTGGTCTCTTTGAGAAGAAGCTGTGGGGCCTAAAGGTGCTGCAAGAGCTTTCACAGTGGACAGTGAGGTCTATCCATGACCTTCGTGTCATTTCTTCTCATCAGACTGAGATCCCAGCACATGAGAGCCATTATATTGCTAAGGAGAAGAAAATGTAGCAGTTGGTCCCTTCTCTCTTCCTTGCTTTCTTTTCTAATGGAATATACATAGTTCCCTGGGGCCTCACTTTCCCATCTCAAATTTCTGAAAATGATTAAGACTACAGGCATTTTTTTTTTCTTCATTTTTCCCTGACCACCTGTAGCCTGTTGAAGGACTGCAGGCATTTTCATTAAGTAGGGTTGGAGACATGCACAAATGTGCATACAAGGTTAGTCTGGGGCGGGTGTGTGTACGTGCTGTAGGTGTAAGAGGGTGGGAGCAGGGATAACGTCCTTCCACTTCAGGGTTCTAACCTTTCTAACACTAAGTAACCTCTACAGACATTTAACAGCGTTACAGACAGAATATACATATGTTAATTCTAGTCCTGGATGGCTCGTCTGAGAAGACTCAATTTAAAATCAGACACTTTAGCCACTTTAAATGCTTAAATAATAAAAATAATAGCTAACTTTTATCTACTATATTGAGGCAATATGCCAAGGGTCTTTATTATGTACAGCTTTTTCAACCTTGTGAACAAGGTGGTGGTACTCCCATTTGGAAGATGAGAAAACAGGCTCACAGAGATTTGGTTAAGCTCACCCAGCTAACGAGTGACGCACTGTTTGAACACAGATCATTCTCCTTGTAAAGCCTGTGTGCCTTTCACTTTAGAGGCTTGATTATGAATCACTGCACCTCTTTGTCACAGGATGTTGGAAGATGCATCCATGTAATCTATTCCCATTGCTGGAAAACAGCTGCCATTACATGTCCTCAGAAGTCAGTTGTAAATTTTAGCATTAAAGTCAGGATTTGTTGTTCATACTTGGCAGCAAAGAGGGCAGCTGGAGATCTTAAGATTCCACTTTGGAAAATGATTAGGCCCATCAAACTTCTGAACCTTGGAAGCTGGGGCTGTTTCGTAATACAGCCTGGTTTTAAAGTGCCCACTAGTGTTCTTGAATATTGGGTTAGGCACGGCTTACACCAGGTTACCTCACTTTTACTATAATTAGTAAGCAGGCAGTGTAACCCAGGCATTTATGGACATTGAGTGGAATCCTACTCAAGTCACCGAATTTCCACCTCAAATTTTCTGGACTTAGTCATGAGGAGAGGGTGAGGCCAGCACTGTTTCTACTGGAGATGCCAGAGACTCTGAAACTATACAGCAAAGCCTCTGTGCTGCACAACAAAGAATCAGGCTTTGCTTTTAATTTCTTGTAAGAACCACACATAGTGTGAAAGGTTGTTAAATGTGGCTGTGTACCTGGTGATATAATGTGAATCCAAACATTTTCAAGTGTGTCATTTATTTTATACTTATCAATTAAAACTCAAGATCATGGATTGGGGGCCCAAGTTAGTTTAATTAATTGAGGCTTCTGTTTTCTTAAATGAGCCATGAGTCAGGGCTAGCTCCCTAGGTTTCATGAAGTGAGGATGGGTAACTTGGTTTGTATCCTTACATAGTGTGTGTATAAACTCCACGAAGTAACTATTACCAGAGTACTCTGGGCTAGGCATTGTAATAGTTCAGGGAAAGTGAGGCCCTGCTTTGTAGTATGCCTTTTGGAAATACAATTGTGTGTGTGTGTACATACACATACACTGTTACTGTAATCAGTGATGCAGACAATGTAACCCTAGCATTTGTGGACAGTGAGTGGAATACTACTCAAGTTAAAAAGTCACAGAACTCCTTCACCTCACATTCTCTGGAGTTAGTCGTGAGGAGAGGGTGAGGCCCACTCTTCTCACTGGAGATGCCAGAGATTCTGTGCATGCACACACACACACAGACTTGTAAGTCCCAGGTTTGTTAGGAAGTTAAAGGAAGAAAATTAACGGGGGCCCAAAGCAGTTTCCTGGAGGAGGTAGGAATTATGTCTCAATACAAAACTACAAAATACTCTGTACTGCTTGGGTACAAAGTAAAAGTCATGAGACAGAGGAAGAGTTGGTCATTTGTAATTTGGGTACAGGTATATAGTTCCCCACTCAATGTATAGTCTTATTCCATTCAAGCTTTGTCTTAATCATTTCTTCTGCTTAACAGCAGCATTCTCTAATAAAGTTTCTGCTTATTAATGTGCAGCTCTTAGAGCTATCTGGAATACTTTTGTTCAATGGAGAAATATGTCTAAAACTTCATAATGGGAAATAACTGATTATGAACTTGCAGGATCTAAAATCATCAATTATGCAGGTAAAAATATGTTTTGAAAGTTTTAAAATAAAAAATAAAAAGATGTTGTCCCCATACTCCCTCCACCAAAAAAAAGTTTTTGAAAAAGAAGTGTCCCATCTCCAAGTGTTTTATGTTCAGCAGGTATACTAGCAGACATCTGCAGATATTTTAGAACTCAGTGGAGCTTGGCTTAAGCTCTCATGAGTAGCAGATGAAGGAATATGTATGTGTAAGAGGTGGATTTGAAGTGGCAGAGGGTCCAGAAAAGGCGCAAGTACTGACCATTGGATGGGAGGAGATAGAAAAAATGTGTAAGTCACAATTAAGTCACACAATCACCAAGTCTTTACCAAGTGCATTCTCAGCACTTTGCAAAAACATCTGTGTATTTGTCTTTGAAGAAGCATACAATATGCACCCGAAAGAAGTGTGGGGAAAGCTCTTAAAGGGGAGACAGGCAGTGGACCATGCAACAAAAATCAGCATATATGAGATCTGAATGTGTAGACATTGCATTATGTTTCCTTGAAATGGATAAATCAAATAGAATAAGGGACTTACAGTGGATTATTATTCTAGGTGTGTGTCTAGTAGTACAGAAGAGGATAATGATGACACTATGGAATTATGTTTTTTTTAAGGGTACAGAACCCCAAGAAGATTTTGTTCATTAGGTTTTATTCTCTTGGTTCTTAGATCTGATAGAGGTAAGATCTCTGGGAAGTCTTGTATGGTAAAACTATATATATTGAGTTATAGTTTAAGGTACATAGATTTAGTTTCTAGCCTTAACTCATTTTGTAGAAACAATTTCTTCCCTGTATTTTCAGAGAGGGCCTTCTGAAAAGTCCTCTCTGTGGGTAGAGAGATTCCGTTTTCCTGAGTCAAGGAATTGCACGGATGAGAACTGATAAATTTTTCTTGCATTCATGTAAGAGAGTGATTTGGAAAAGGCTTGCAAATTAGCACAACTTGAAGACCAAGCATAGAATAAAATTAGCATTAAGTTAATCAGGTTTAAGTGATGTGAGAGTTTTAATACAAATGGAAAGTATAAAGTCATAGCTCTGGTATTGCTGTTATTTCAGGCTGCTGTGGACTAATGCCCAAAGGATGACTCATTGTTGTGATCACTTGTCAGACAGGGAGAGGACTAGTAAATATTTCAGGAATACATATCTAAAAAGTTATTTAGATTGAATTTTGTTTGTGAAACCTCAGCTCTTCATGAGATACCTGAGCATCTCTGTTAAGGGGTGAAATAGAGACACAGGAAGCAGAAAGACCTCCACCAGGATGTAAAGGGGATTGGTAAAGAGGAAAGGAGGGGAGAAGTAGCATTTGGATTTCACTTCAGTTGATTTCTCTGTCTTTCGAGGCGTGTGTGTGTGTATGTGTGATACTAATGTCGTGTTTAGGTCAGGACATTCCTTAAAAAGAATGTTTTGGCCTCCTGCCTCATCCCACTTCCACTGTAAGCATCAGACCCACCCAAGAATGAGCTCTCTGAATGTGGGTGCATTCAAAAAGCGAAGAGTGATAAAAACTTTATTTCATGGCTTCCGTTGAGCTCTGACGACCACAGATAAAGACAGAATAAGATAATTTGATAGTTTGATGAAATGTCTGGGTGTGAGATAAAATCCATGTGCTTATGATTTTTAACATAGAAGATATTGTTTGTATCAATCTGGTTTCAACACATAGAAAACAAAAGATGCAAGAATAGCTAATAATAAAGTTCTTTTCTCAGCAATACTGTGAGTTACTTCTTTTCTGTATCTTTGGATGAATGAGGGGAATTTCAAGTGATTTCAGTATTGGATGAAACTTGATCCTCCCAGCCAGGGCCAGGCTTAATCAAGCGTGCTAAGTAAACCTCCATGCCAGGCCACTCACACTGAGCAAAACTCCCAGGGCCAGTCAGCCTAGAAAAAGTAGATTGCCTCTGTATGACCAGGCCAGTGTTTTGCCCTCTGAATATGTAGTCCTCCTATCAGCTAGACTGCAGATGAGAAAGATTTCCTTTTACATGGTTTAATTTCAAGTAGTTGACTCTACCCCCAATTGAGCCTTTGACTGAAAGAGAAGAACCCTGACTAGCCCATTTCTAGTCAAGTTGGAGGTAGAAACCAAATTTGTTAAAAATCACATAGAGGAAAATATGAAACAGTTACTGAGAGATTATTTCTGTCCACATGTTGAAGGTAGTATGAAAGAGAATAATGTACCATGTCAGGCAGCTCTGTACTATTTTATATTATTTAATACTCTGGGATATTATCTCTTAGATGTGGCAAATGAGAATGCGCATTAACTTGCCCGCATTTCCTGCTCTAGCATATGACAGGCCTGGAGTCTTAATTCTAGCTCTAAAGCTCCCTCCACTACACCCTGTGCCATAGGACATTAGTAATCGAGATCTTCTTATTCTGAAGTCCATTCTCTCTCTCTAACCCACTTCTTGGATAAAGTCCGTACAGACTTGTACCAAATTTTGCCCTGTAACAAAGTCTATTTAAATTTCTAAACTTTGAGAAAAGCCACTTTTTTCTGAGCTTCCTCATTTATGAAATGAAAATGATGAAAAATAGCTAACTATGTGGATCGTTATAGACAAATCAAGCATCAAAAATTACTTGTAACTGACATACAGACATCACCAAGCATATTTAATGCCTCAAGTAACTTGAATTCACAGAGTGGATTGAGAAGCAAGCTCTATAAGTATCTCAGAGAACACCACCTGCTTACTGGCCACAGCCTAGACTTCACCCTATTGTGCGTATTGGCCTTTGGCCACTGGAGGCTGACCCAGTCTCACAGTCTCCAGGAATCATCCACCTCTCTGGAGAGTTACAACCCAGGCAGTTCACCCAGGAGGCAGCTTTCACAGTAGGCGGGGTCAGACAAGTCCTGGAGAAGCCTGGCAGGCTCCAGAGGGAGCCAAGGAAACACGCAAGCTAAGGAGCTGCCCAGGATACATTAAAGCATGCATTTAGACTTAAAATCATCCCACCATATGCCTATACTCTTCTCTTAATACCAGAAGGAACTCAAACTTCATTTAGTTCAATCCCTTCATTAAACACAGCATGAAGAAGCCAAGAGGTTCAGCAATTTGCCCTGGCATCCCAGCTAGGAAGTGGAAGAATGAGACCTACAGTCCATGGATTCCCTACTGTACTTTCCTGCTTCTCCATCAAACCAACCTAATTTTAGGAAAACATCTAAGTCTTCCTTGCTGTCTTGTATACAGTGCCCTCTAGCTCCCTCACCTCTAATAATCCTTAAGCTTTAGGAACAGCACCTCATGACCCAGACTTCTTTTGCCACTCCAACTCCCACCTCTACTATAATTTGAGGGTGCAATATTTCATCCCTCCCCTGATATGGGGAAAAGATGTGGCCCATTCTGAGGGATGCATTCTGAAGTAATGACTAAATATGTTACTCCTTTCAGGGTGTCATTTGAACAAGGCACTCAGGGAAGCTTTTTAAAAATAACGTTCTGAAGCAGGTGTCTTCATGTCAGATCAACGCTTATTCCACAGGTAAGGTAAAGGCTTGGGACTGATTTCCCTTCTCTTAATCCCTGACTCCTGTCTCCAAAGCTTGGGATGGAGTTAGGTTTGGAAGTTACATAAATGATACAGTTTGGCTGTGTCCCTACCCAAAATCTTATCTTGAATGTAATCCCCACAATCTTCACGTTTCAAGGGAGAGACCAGGTGGAGGTAATCGAATCATGGAGGCCCATGCTGTTCTCGTGATAGTTCTCACGAGATCTGATGGTTTTGTAAGTGTTTGGTAGTTCCTACCGTGTTCATTCTCCTTCCTGCTACCTTGTAAAGAAGGTGCCTGCTTCTCTTTCACCTTCCACCATGATTGTAAGTTTGCTGAGACCTCCCTAGCCATATGGAACTATGAGTCAATTAAACTTCTTTTTTTTTTTTTTTGAGACGGAGTTTCGCTCTTGTTACCCAGGCTGGAGTGCAATGGTGCGATCTTGGCTCACCGCAACCTCCGCCTCCTGGGTTCAGGCAATTCTCCTGCCTCAGCCTCCTGAGTAGCTGGGATTACAGGCACGCGCCACCATGCCCAGCTAATTTTTTTGTAGTTTTAGTAGAGACGGGGTTTCACCATGTTGACCAGGATGGTCTCGATCTCTTGACCTCGTGATCCACCCGCCTCGGCCTCCCAAAGTGCTGGGATTACAGGCTTGAGCCACCGCGCCCGGCAATTAAACTTCTTTATAAATTACCCAGTCTCAGCATAATACAACGGACTAGTACAACAAATGAGAGAACACTGAAAAAAAAAAAAAAAAAAGCCAATATTCCCAGCAACATCCTAGCTGGTAAAGATCTAGGTGCAAGGGGAGCAGAACTTGGAATGGGAGATTTAATTTTCTATGGTGTTCTCATTGGTAAAGTGTTAGCAACAGCCAGTGTGAGAGACTGGAACACAAGCATCACCTGTTCTGTAGGCATTGTTGGTGTGTGTCTTACATTTTATTCTACTATTTTCAAGGAAGCTTTGCCATTTTCCTTTTCTTTCATTGTTAAGTGTTTACTTTCCCCCGATATCTGAATGATGAAAAGGAGCTAGCCATGGGTGGACCTAAGCAGGAGAAAGGTAATGTTAAATAAGTGCAGAGCCCAAAGGCAGGAATGAACTTCCTATCTTCAAGGAACTGAAGGAAGGCCAAGGTGGTCAAAGACAGGTTAGACGGGTGAGCGGGGGAACAATGCCTGTGCTAAGGCCCTTGAGCCAAAGATTAGGAAAAACACACCAGTTGTTAAACACTTGGGTTGATTACTTGTTGTAAACAGAAGAATGTACACCTTGGGAAACAGTGAAGTGTCTCGGTAAGAGTGTGTTAGAACCTATTATGCGATTTAGGCTTTGGGCAGGTGATTCAGGGTGTCTCTAAGAAAGCAGAGGTTTGCCCTGAACCTGATGCTGTCAGAAAGTGCGGGCAATTCCATGGGTATTCTGTGAGTCGTGCATGCAGTGAGCTTGTTTTTGTCTATGTTTAGACAAAATTATGAAGTGAGCTTGTTTTATTTTATCATGGTCTCTGAGTCACTTTGTCTGAGGTTATCTATAATACTGTTTAGATTATTTAGGCTCACTAGGCTGTGAACCTCAGACCAGCTTATAATATTGTAGTCCAGTTGTAAACATCAGATCAATTTTGGACATCAGGGGTACATTTTTTCTTTTTCATTAGCGACAAGATTATGTATAAAAAGAGATCTGGATTTTATTCTTCTGAGTACAGACAACAGGTCTAACAGACATCAGTGTGTAGTTAGTATTTCCACCTGGATCACAAAAAGCAGCTCATAGATTTAAAAAGCAAAATCAAGATATGCAGTCTTGAAAGATTTCATGTTATTTATTTTATTTTATCCATGCTCCCTCCTCCATCTCCACATAACTAACTCCTGTTCGTGCTTCAAGATCCATGTCACCTTTTTGAAAATGTCTCTGATTAGTACTCCTGTATCACTGCTGTCTCCTCTTTGCTGCAACTTTATATATTATCTTCCATCCGTACTGTTTCCACTACTGATTACTGTCACTACCACTGCTACAGACAAGGATACTGAGCTCTGACACGGAAAAAGGTGCTTTGCACACAGCAGCTCTTTTAATCCTTACCACAACCCATTGCACTTGATGATATCATTCTTGCTTTCTAGATGAGAGAACTGAAGCTCAGAAAGGTTAAATCACTTGCTCAAAGTTGCAGAACTGGGATTAAAATTGAGGTACTTGGGAATACTTTCCCCCTATATAACTATTATATTACATAACATTGCATATTAATTATTTGTGTATATGTCTCTTTCCTGGTGGAATGTGGGGTCTTTGAAGGCAGAGGCTGTGTCTTCTCTGGCATCTGATAGGTGCTCACTAAATGTTACCTGATTAAGAGGAGGAAGGCAGGTAGAGATGGAGAGAATGCAAGGTGCTGTGCAATGCAAGAATTATTGTTTCATATCAATGCTTATCAAGTTTTTCACAGAAATAATGATGTTTTATGGCATACTCAGGCAAACTAGGGGATCTAGATTCTAGGAGAAAGCTGCTCCAGGCTAGAAAAAACTGGACCATGGTAGGTATACTATCTGTAACAGGTTCAGTTAACCACTTGGGTTACTGTAGTGTTGAAGGGATCAGTATATCTTGGGCATCTGTCAGGCAATCTGTGCTTTATATCAGAGGTTAGCAAGCTATTTCTTAAAGGGCTAGAGAGTAAATGTTTTAGTCTTGTGAGGTATAAGATCTCTGTTGCAGCTATTAATAGATAATGCATAAATCAATGAGTGTGGCTGTGTTAAAAAAAATTATTTACAAAAACAGGTTTCTGGCCTGTGGGTCTTGCTTGCTGACCTGAGTTTTATATGGATATTGTGATTCAGAGTCTTTGGGTCCTTCTCTGCTTTGCCTGATTTAAAGAATTTGGTTGATGTTCAAGTTACTAGTTTGTTCTTTCACAGATTGTGCTGTTGATGTCATTTTTAAAAATATTTGCCTAACACAAGGTCACAAAGACTTTTTCCTCCCCTATTTTCTTTCTGTTCATTTTATCCTCAGCACTTAGTAAAGTATTATCTTTTTTAGGAGGATACATGAATCCTTCTTAAGACTGAATGAATGAATAATTTAAATGAAAGGAAAAAAGATCTTTCTTTCTTCCCTACCTCATACTCTCCCAATCCCGGACTCCCAAACCATGAAGCT